TGGGAAAACAGAGACTTGCTCCTTGAATATGTTTCTGAGGCTCCAGGGGGGTTTTGGAGAGGGAAATCCTCCCTTTACCATAGATATAGGTGTATCCATAATTGTGAGCCCACAGGCTATTAGGGCAGAGAGGAAACTTACAGACATGTGTACAATTCTACCAACTTTAGGAACACAGAAATGTGAGACCAGAATGGCCGAGTCGCATAGCAAATCAGTGAAAGAATGCAGACCTAACATTTCTCTTTCTTGTTCTACACAGTTCTTTCTACACAGTTCTTGCTAACACTATTTCTCTCCCGTAGTTTCTGAGAGTTTCTATATGGAGATATGTACTGAGTATCCTATTTCCAGCTAAGATAGATGTAGATCTATGTGCAGAGTTGTGTGGCACCAGAGGCTAGTTGCTTCCAGAAGCATGGGTCCCAGATGCCTGAAGTGCAATCCAGTCAAAGAATGATGAAGAATCTGCAGGAAATAGTAAAGGTTTCCCCTCAGCTGAAAAGGCTATAGGATGCCAAAGCCCTAAGACTAGCCAGGCATGGGTGGCCGCCATGTTAAGAGGAAGTGTGGGTCACTATAACCCATGAGCTCACTCTGGTGCAGACTCGGCCAGTTCTGGGCCAGAGTGTTCAGGTCCTTGGGCCTTCTGCATCTGTTCTCCATGGGACCTCAGATAAGGGGCCTTAAACCTCTTACCTTTCTACCAAGTGTGAAAGCTGTCTCCCTTCTGGTGGGGCTTGTCAGGCCTCTTGAGCAAGGGCATTGCTCCTGGAAACTAAGAAATCTGGAGTGGCTTCTGCCGCTGGTGCCCCAGACAGCCTGGAGGCAGAGAGACCTCACACCTGCCTTGCAGGGAGACCTCCCAGTGAGGTCACTTGATAAAGATAAGTTGGAATGTCATAGGGCTGTTTGTCTTGGTAGAAATATTATTTTATTAGAGAAAACATTCTGCTATACAGAAGGGTATATCACACTGGCCTCTGCATAGCAAGCTCAAGTTCTAAATTAAACTTAAATTGTGCCAATGGGGATTGCATCAGCTGGTTACACACACACACACACACACACACACCTAACTCTGGTGATTCTTACCTTCTGTGTTCTTGTTTTTCATCATAATGTTTATTGTAGCAACAACTGCAAAATACTAATAAAGAATTCATTCCTGGCATTGGGTGATATGTTTTGGCTCCAGGGTAAGGTTTATATGCTATTTTCAGCTCCACATGCTTTCTGAGATAGCTCCCAACACACCTCGGAGGCTGGTTAAGCCCATTGACTTCTCCAGGCATCCGTTGCTTTAATTCAGAGGCAAGAATACTGACTTGAAGGATAAAGTTTAATAAGCTTAAAAATCCTTTCCGGTGTTAACATTCAGTGGCTCTGATTTAATTTCTACGCTTCTTTCAGTCCAGTACAAAACTAGCACAGTGAGACATCCCCAGAGCCTTTCAGCGGTGCAGCGGCCCCAAAGGAGACAGACCCTGACTTGGCTCTACCCACAGCGAGTATAAAACTCACTGGAACCATAAATGGCTATAGTCACAGGGGACTTCAGTGTTGCCATGGACTCCATTGAACAAATGGACAAACTGAGGCCAAGAGAAGTGACTTTTCCAAGGAAACAAAGCCAGCCAGGAGCAGAGCTGGGTTACACATTTCTATCTCCCTACTTCCAGTTCATCGCTCTTTCCATGGAACCTGGTGCCTGTCATCCAACGATCACAACTTCACAGGAATTGTGCACCCTCAGATGGCTCTGTGCACTATATTTTCTTTGGTATGATTTCAAGATGAATTTCTCTTCCAGCCTCAAAATATTTACAATGGGGATCAGGGGTCTGTGGGCACCTGCAGAGTGGCTCCTTCAATAGTAATAGGGAGATTTGCAAGTCAAATACACCTCACTCCTCTTCCGGAATTGTGGCCTCAGGAGGGCCCAGGGAACCATTTACTGGAAGGATATGAATTCCAATTCTTGGAGTCTGGAATGGCTATATTGAGTGATGAAAGGGTAGAAAGACACATTTATTTAGGAAATATCTTGTTCTAGATTCCATGCTGGGCAAAGCTGATGAAAGCTGGGGCTTTGGTGATCTTCATATGGGCTCAAATCCCAGTTCCACTAATTATTAGCTGTTGAATTTTGTTATCTAACCGCTCTGCTTTAGCTTACATATCTGCAAAATGGAGCTGGGGCTGCTGTTACCTACCTATAGAGGTTGTTATTAGGATAAAATAAATTAATATGTATAATTAAAATAACAATAATCATACAATTATAATAATGCATAATTAATATCCAATTAATATGTATAATTGTATATATAATATGTATACTATTATATATTATAATAATTACTATGTATAAAGCACTTCGGATACTGCCTGATACATAGTAAATGCTATATGGCAATTGCTGCTTCTATGCACGTTAAAAATATATTCACATAAAATACTAACAATGTTTTGCCAAAATGAAATGATACACATTAGATATATAGGAATAGCTACCCATGAGAATATGAGAGGATTACAAAAACAAATAAACAAGAACAAAAACCCAAGCAAGTGATTTCAGAGCCCTTGCTTTTAATCACTACAAATACTGCTTCCTTATCATCCCATTGTCAAGATGAATAAACTGAGGCTAAAATAAAGTAAAATGAAGGCACCAAGCATTCATGAAGAAGCAGGAGTACTTGGAAGATGGTCTCTGGTACCAGATGGGAGATTTAGGCTTGCTTTTTTGTCTGTAAACTTCAGGATCAGCAGGCTGCCCACAAGTCAGTGTTTGAAAAGCTCACTCGGGTTCTTCTAGCTGCAGCAAGCTTCTGCAGGGACAGGGTCAAGAGTTGTGGTTTCCTGGAATTCAGGGGGCATTGTCTCTGACACCTCGAGTGCAGGACCATGAGCTTCATCATGGTCCTATACAAATAGGTAGCAACAGTGAAATTATAAAAGACTGAAAACAAATCTTAGTACCTCAACATAGAGGATTAGCAGTATTATGCCCAACCAGATTACAGAATATGGGCAGGCTATAAGATGGAATAATATTAATTTCTTAGAAATATATTCATGATATATTATTGTTTAGAAGACAAATCACAGTGGGGTATGTATGTATGTGTATGTATATGTATTATATATGTATATATATGTGTGTGTATACATATACACACATGTACAGATAACTGGCAGTCAGGGTGTGTATATCATAATATTAACAGTGAACATGGTACTAGGAAGAGTAATACTTTTGCTTTATTTCATCTGTATTGTCCAGTTTTTCTAAATTTAACTTCTTTCTTTTTTTTTTAAAGATTTTATTTATTCATTTGACAGAGATCACAAGTAGGCAAAGAGGCAGGCAGAGAGAGAGGAAGGGAAGCAGGCTCCCTGCTGAGCAGAGAGCCCGACGCGGGGCTCGATCCCAGGACCCAGGACCCTGGGATCATGACCTGAGCCGAAGGCAGAGGCTTTAACCCACTGAGCCACCCAGGTGCCCCTCTAAATATGACTTCTTTTTGAAGATTTTATTTACTTATTTGAGAGTGTAGAGAGAGGTAGCAAGAGAGAGCATGAGTGAGGGGAGGGGCAGAAGGAGAGGGAGAAGCAGGCTCTCCATTGAGCAGGGAGTCTGATGCAGGGCTCCATCCCAGGACCCTGGGATCACGACCTGAGCCCAGGGTGGACACTTGATTCACTGAGCCACCCAGGATCTCCAAACCTGTATGACTTTCATAAAGGAAAAATAATTTATTAAAAAGTAGAAGAACAGGCACCTAGAATAAAGTCTGTTTTCCCCATGGATACTGGCCTCCTCTTCTATAATCATGTTGAAAATCATCGTTTCTGCTCCTGCCAGGCTGATGCAATGGCTCCCTTCTTTGTGCACAGGTGGTGCTCCCGTACAAGGCTGTCAAAGCACAGATACCATTGCTTTCTGGACTACAGATCCCATTGCATTATTGGGTATCTACCCCCTTACAACCACCTGGCATAGAGCCTGGTACATAGGTATATTTGAAGTGGATGATTTATTGAATTATTGTGGGCTCAGTAGCTTGGAATCAGATATGAGCTCTGCTACCCACTCACTCTGCGTTGGGCCAGACTCCTGACAGGGTCTGGCAATCCAACCTGACTAATCACTGGGGGGAGGGAAACTGAGGCAGGAGGCAGCTACCTGGGTTTGCAGAAGGAAAGGTTTAGCCCAGTTCACAAACATCCCTACCCCAAGCTGTCAAGGTGCATGGATGAGCAAGAGCCATGCTTCCAGGGGTGGGACATGCCCATGCCCTTCTGGGATGTTGCTCCCTTCTGCTGTGTTGTGAGGATCCCTCCACCTAGGAGCTTGTTCTTCAAAGGGTGCTAGGCCCAAAGTGGACACAGTCAAGGACTCCCACCCCACCGGCCTGATTACAGGCTCTTTACTTGGAGGAAGGGAAACATGCCCCACCTCCTTTCCCATCCCTCTGGATTTGTCATCGTTCTGCACTCTTAACATCTGCCAATAAAGACTGTCTGCACTAAAAAAATAAAAAACAAAACAAAAAAATCAACAGGGATGCCTGGGTGGCTCAGTTGATGTATAAGCTAGATGAGTCCCAATCTCCTGATCCGTATAGTGACGATAATAGTCATGGGTCAAGAGACTTCCAGTAGGTTTTGTAAATGACTTGGTGCCAGTCACAAATGGTGGGAGTGCAGAAAGTTTATAATTATTGCTGCATCTATTAACAGGTCCACATCTTCCCATCCCATGTCTCTTTGGCTCCCTAAGGCATCATGGTTACCATAGCAACCAGATGCTGATGATGCCTCCAGGGGCAGCAAGGTGAAGCCCAGCCAGCTCCCAGGTCCTCCCTCTGTGCGCCCTTCACAGCCCAGAGTGAGATGGTCTGAAGCTCCCTCAGCCTTTTCTCAAGCCCCCCACCTGTCTCAGGTCCCTTAGCCACAAACCCTGCCTCCACAGTCTCAGTGAAGGGCCCCGAAACATCGCTTTGGAGACGCCCTCCTCCCCACACTCTGTCTCTTGGCGCCCTGCCTGGTTGCTGTGGAAACAGGTTCCACTGCGGACAAAGGAGGGAGCTGGGTCCTGCTTCCTCCTCGTCCTGTCGATGAGGATTTTTAGACCGTGGAGACTGCGCTGCCCTGCCCTGCACCTGCCTTCTCTCTCTGTGTTCTCGCTCAAGTGGAGCTTGCCCTCTCTCCCCACTGACGAGACCATGTGTAAAAGCGTGACCACAGGTGAATGGAAGAAGGTCTTCTATGAGAAGATGGAGGAGGCCAAGCCGGCCGACAGCTGGGACCTCATCATAGATCCCAACCTCAAGCACAACGTGCTAGCCCCGGGCTGGAAGCAGTACTTGGAATTGCATGCCTCGGGCAGGTGAGTAGCCCAGTAAGTAGACGCCCTGCCGGCAGCCCTGGGGCATCTTCCAAGAACAGACTGATAGGGAGGACCCAGGTACTTAGGATCAGTCTCACTGTTGGCCTGTGTAGACTGGGAAGCAGAGAAAGAGTCTCTACCTGGGAGGTGGGGACCCCGGAGTTTGATTCCAGCTCTTCCATTGAACTCCTGTGTAACTTGCCCTCTCTGAATTATAGTTTCAAAGAGGTGGGATATACTTATTAGCTGTAAACTCTGACATTTTACATCTTTTCAGATTTTAATAATGTAAAATAGTTGAAAACCAAGAGAAAGAGGCTCAAGGTCTCTAGGGATCGAGTTCTATGCTCTGGTACTGGGACAGTTCGATTTCAATCTCTTTAATTCAGCCTGACTCAATAGAAAATACTGAACACATGAAGTGGGCTAGAAACTGGCTCTACTATTAGCTCCACCGCCCTTGAGTGATTCAGTTTCCTTCTTGGACCTCACCTTCCCCGTTTGCAAAAGGAGGGCTTAGTCTGGATCCTTGCCTTGCGGAGCATGGATCTGTAGCTTCAGCATCACCTAGAACTTGTGAAAGATGCAGAATCTCCAGCCCCATTCTAGACCTATTGAATCATTTCAACAAGGTCTCTCAGTGATTTGGGATGTGCAATAATACCTGAGATGACTTTCCAGCACTCTTGTCCATCGGTCTGTTATGTAAAGACTTCCTTTGGGGACAGAAGATGGGGAGGCTCTGTGGAACGGTGTGGGGGTCAGAAGCAAGGCCTTCCTTCCTTCCCTGGTACTGTGCATTCAAGTCGATTCAACATCTATTGGACACCAGTTTTGTGCTGGGTACTGGCTCTGAATTCTAGCTGTGTGTATGTGGATCATTTTCTAATTCTTTATGCCTGAGAGTGAAGCAAAAGGTTAATCAGGTGACTTTGAAGATTCCTCCAGTTCTGACATTTTCCAATCCTAGTTTTATAGTCCAATCTCTGACAGAGAAAATAGTCCCCAAAGGATGGAAGTAAAAGAGAAGACAATGAGAATATGAGACTCCTAACCTCTTGGAAGTTACCTGTCTTAGCTGGGTACCAAGAGCTGGACATTTGCTGGCGGGGCCCAGGAGCTTCTTGGAGACCTGGAAGGTTTGTAGCATCTCCAACCTTGGTCAGGGACCTGTGATCACCAGCTGGCCTCAGTCACCTCGCTCTGGGCTGAGACCGTCTCCAATTCTAGGCCTTGGGATGCATTAATCCACGCACTGATTTGGAGTCTGAGAAGTAGTGATGGTGTCATTTTTCTCCTGATTCGGGTCTATCCTATTCACAGTCAGTATTAACAGGTAGAATGTGGGGTAGATTGTGCCTTTCCCAAATGTTCAGGTCATCCTGGCTAGGAGACGTCAAGGAGGTCTGAGCAGAAAGGACAAACCCCGTAACCCCGTGCACCGCGAACATTTTGCAGGTGAGGAAATATGCCCAGAGCCGAAGCCCCAGTGGCAGGGCCTGAAGGCATTGGATTGGAGGAAACTGAGGCCTGTGCAGAGCACAGGTGAGAAGGATGCCAGGTGCATCTTGACGAACCCGCTCTGGTCCTAAGGGCACCCTCGAAGGGACAGACTGGACAGACGCCCCGGGAAAGCTAATGACGCCTGTAAACACACTGCCTTCTGGGGTCTGTTTCCACCATTTCGACTCGGTCCTCTCCTCTTACCTCAACCCCCTCCCCGCAGGTTCCACTGCTCCTGGTGCTGGCACACCTGGCAGTCGCCCCACGTGGTCATCCTCTTCCACATGTACCTGGACCGCGCCCAGCGGGCGGGCTCGGTGCGCATGCGCGTCTTCAAGCAGCTGTGCTACGAGTGCGGAACCGCACGGCTGGACGAGTCGAGCATGCTGGAGGAGAACATCGAGAGCCTGGTGGACAACCTCATCACCAGCCTGCGCGAGCAGTGCTACGGGGAGCGCGGCGGCCAGTACCGCATCCACGTGGCCAGCCGCCAGGACAACCGGCGGCACCGCGGCGAGTTCTGCGAGGCCTGCCAGGAGGGCATCGTGCACTGGAAGCCCAGCGAGAAGCTGCTGGAGGAGGAGGCGACCACCTACACCTTCTCCCGGGCGCCCAGCCCCACCAAGCCGCAGGCCGAGGAGGGTTCTGGCTGCAACTTCTGCTCCATCCCCTGGTGCTTGTTTTGGGCCACAGTCTTGCTGCTGATCATCTACCTGCAGTTCTCCTTCCGCAGCTCTGTCTGATTCCCCCCATGGGCTCAGGGGCCCAAGGCCTGTGGGGGCCAGCCTGCTGGAGGGAGGGGCAAAGAGCGACCTGGGCTGGGAGTGGGGTTAAATGCTAGTGCTGGTGCCGCCGCTGACTCCATGAGGACCCTGGACAAATCGCTCGTCTTTGCCATCTATAAAAGTAAGGTTTGGCCTGGATCGTTGGTTTTTCAAAGTGAAACCCAGGGCCCCAAAGTTCTGCATAGGTCCCCAGGGACTTTTTGATTTGGAAGTTAGGCTGAGGGAGTAGATTTCCCATCCTGGTCAAACTGCTCATTCCCAGCTCCTATTTCCTCCTCTTGCCTTAATCAGAACAGATCTGTCTTGGAGTTTCGTTTAAGAGTTGTGGATGAAAATAGGTTTAACTGCTTTAAAAGAAAAAAAAAAAAAACTTGAAAATGACAGGACTTGGTGATCTCAAAAGGCCTTTCCGGAGTGATGAGCTCGTTCTTGCTTTTTTGTTAATACCCTACTCTTCCCCCTTATTAGGTCCCACATCTGGGGCTGCGACATTAAATTAGCCTGTACCTAGTGTAGAAGCCTCATGAACAGCTCTGCCTCCATGCACACAGCAGAGGTTCCTTTTGAAGAAAGACAGGTGGGCACTAGGCTGTCCCTTTGCTGCCGGGTACCCAGGGTCCCTTGCTTCTGCTCCCCAGATCCCCCAGCTTCCCTCCACTCAGGGTAGATTCTGAGGCCTACCTCGGGCCAAGTCCCATAGAACTAGGCTTCCCACCTAATGCATATCAACTGACAGAGAACTTAGAGGGAGGTTTAGAAGGGAGGGTGTTAAATGCACAAAATCTCTGCAAAGCCAATATGCGACTCTCCATTATAATGACGAATCTGCAGAGTTCAGGGACCCAGCCTGCCTGATTCTTAGCAGTTCTGATGGTCACAATGCAGGGGCAGGGGCCTGGCCTCCTGGGCTCCTTGCTGAAACCCTACTTGAGAGGCTTTCCCACATTGGCCATGCATCAGTCTTCTCACCAACCATCAGATGTCCTAGAACCACAGGGATGGGGTGTCGTTAGCAAGAGAGAGAGCATTAAAGATGGGAAGTGCTTTGCCCATAGAGAAGTGCATAGATATGTGGGAGAAACTTACATCACTTTAAAATGGCATGCAGTCTGCTTCGGGGTAGGAGGAAAGACTTTTTGATAGTAGGAGTATGGGTTGGGCATGGGGGGAAAGCAGAAGGCAGGAGGAGGGATACCACCTTGCATTTTCAAGGGTCCTCATTCACCTCACCTCTGTTAATAACTTGACTTCTCCCACTTCCCTCCTCCTCCCTTTTTGACTCCTCCCTTTTTTAATGGAAAACTACCACCATCTGTAGTGGTGGAGCGGGGAGGGTCACATATACAAAGATGCGATACTTTAATAAAGACAGGATACCTTCAGTCAGGTTTAGCAGTCATTAATGTGTGCTTGAGATTCACCACAGTGTCCCTGAAACACGTAATGGGCTATTGGATTCCCCCTCCCATCTCCACTCCCCATCTCCCCTTTCTGGGGATCCCCCATAAGGCTTTATCTAGCTCCAGTTTCAAGGTCGGGGCCGATCATGTCCATGCCCAGGAAGGATGCGGGCAGCTCTGGGTCAGTCATCTAGGGGACTCAGCCTGAGGCCAGTCTTACCTTTGCCCTTGTGCAATTCTAGTACCTGGCTGGTGATTCATGCAGTGGTCATCCCTTTATCTATCTCTTTATCCACATGTCCTGAACAACACCTTCTGTCTGGCAAGCCCTGATTTGAGTGCTGGGATCCAGTGGGCACTAAGTGGGCAGGCTCTGTCTCTCAGAGATCTTTGCTTATTGTAGAAATTCTCAGCCCCGGCTGAGATTTGGAAATGCTGGGGAGCTTTTGAAGAAATATCAGTGCCTACCTCTACCTCAGACCAAGAGAATCAGAATTTCTGGCATGAATTCTGGCAGAATTCATGGCAGAATTCTGGCAGAATTTCCGAGCATTTGAATTAGAATAAGACTTCTGGGTGACCCACCTGTGCTGCCTGGTCTAATCTTTCCCACTGAGGAACAGGCTTTCTTCTGCACCTAGTCTAATTGTAATAAGCCTGGAGGTCATCCTTGATGACCTGCCTTGGATTCTCTAGGGCTAGGACTCTGCTTCCCTCCTACTCCCTACTCCCTGTCCCTGGGACTCGACTCTCCCTCGGAACTCCCAGTTCCTTCTTGTTCCCCTGCTACAGTGGCTTTGTCCTGCTCTGAGAATCTCCATTATTGAGCTCTGTCACCCTTGCCAGATGCTTGTAAATTTTGATATAATTCTTTCCTATGGCTGTACTCCTCCCTGAAATGTGGCTTCAGTGTGTAAGTGACTTATCTTGTGTCCCTTTGCCAGCTAGTGGCAGAGCAAGGAGTCTGACCCTCACCTAGTTCTAGCTCTGACCTCTTTCTTAAAGCATGAAGCCTCTTCCTCTGCTGTAAGAAGGTGTCTACAATCTACAGAGGCCTCCTCTGTCTCCCGTATTTTTCTTATTCTTGCTGCAGCTGGGGTGGCTGTAGGTTTGCTCACTGGTCTGACCTTCATCTCAGCAGACTTCTCTGGGACAGTTCTTCCTTTGCCCATATTGCCCCATGCCCCAAGATGAACTTGTTAGATGTGCTGTAGGCATTATAAGGAAACTTCTCGGAGACATTTTAGGATCCCAGCCCTCTCCCACTGGAGCTTTTGAGTGCAAGATATCTTGCTGTGCAAACCAGGAGCAGACCTACAGGCCCTGACTTGTGGTTCCAGAAGCTGAAATCCTCTGTGTGGGGTCAGTAGACATGCAGCCTTGATCACTTCCCTCAGACTCATTGGGACAGGGCCAGCCCCATGGGAAAATAATTCTTGGGGGTCAGGACAATTTTCTACATAGTGATCCATAGACCAGCAGAGCTACAAGACAGATTCCATGTAGGGCCTTTATGTCACAGGTAAGGAACAGAGGCCTAGAGAGAGTAAGAAACTTGACCAGCATTACATAGCACAGAGTAAAGGAAGGTGATGTAATTCAGGGTTAAGAAACCCCTGAGTCCTGGTTCTTATGAGCTCTATGGCCTTAGGCAAATTACTTAAACTCCTTGAGCCCCATTTTCCTTCTCATTAAAATGGGAATAATACTTGTGACTTATCGGGCTATGGTAAGAAATAAATGACGCACTGTTGGTAACATTGCCTGATAGAGAGCCTATGGCTGTCCTCTTCCTTATTCCCCTTTCCCTTTCAGCTGGGAGCCTCTCCTTCGAGTCCTGAGGGGCTCTTTCTCTCTGTGCTGCAGCTCTGTTGGTAAATGTTTTAGGAGGAAAAAAAAAAAAAAGATCGAGGGGGAAGGTAAGGGTTAAGCTCCCAGCCCATGGCTGAGACCTGGTTTGTGTTAATTTAATATGTGTAGAGTCATTTCTTTTCTTCCCCTCAAATTTATTTCAAAGCAGTGACTTAATTTTTCCAGTGGCATGGTAGCTGGCCACTCATCATTCTTCAAAGATAGCTATATAAAAATCACCCCACGGCCACCTGGGTGGCTCAGTGGGTTAAGCCTCTGCCTTCGGCTCAGGTCATGATCTCAGGGTCCTGGATCGAACACTGCATCGGGTTCTCTGCTCAGGAGGGAGTCTGCTCCTACCCCGCCCTGCCTCTCTGCCTACTTGTGATCTCTCTCTCCCCCTGTCAAATAAATAAATAAAATCTTTTAAAAAATAAGTAAAAAATAAAAAATAAATAAAACAGAAATACCAGTGATTTCTGGGCTCCATTTCCACTGGCTGAAATACCCAAGAAGGAATTCAGCTGGATTCCAAGTCACATTCTGGTTTCCTATAGGATTCCCCACTTAGGAAATTCCTCTGGAATCATTTTTGGCCCTGTGTGGATACTGCCACATGCGTCAGGGAAATGAAATCTCCCTGCTGTGTGACTATCTTCTGACGAAGCTTGTGAGGGGAGGTGGGGGTGGGGGTTGTGCCTGGCATCTGAGCAACATGGGTCCCAGCTCTGGGTTAGAGGTTATCCGGGCATCTTGGCAGCTGACCTCGGGTGACTTCTCTTTCTCCTCTCCTGGGTCTCTGTTTCCTCATTTGTAAAGCAAAGAGTGACAACTGGGATTGGGTCTGGGTGTATTTTGAAGGTAGCTGAGAGGATTTGCTGATGTCTTAGACATGGGGTCTGAGAGAAAGAGGAGCCAAAGAAGGCCGAAGGTTTTTGGCCTGGGCAACCGGGAGAATAGAGCTACCACTTGCGGAGATGAGGAAGGCTGCGTGAGGAATAGATCTGGGGGCGATGTCACGAGCTGGGTTTTGGACGTGTGAAGGTCGAGATGCATCATAGACATTCTGTTAGACGACTTAATGCGAGGAATTAAATGTGAGAAATGTAAGGTGGCAGGGGAGTGTTCACGACTGCAGTTCAGAGGAAAGGCCCAAGCTAGAGATAAAATTGGAACGATCAGCATTTAGGTGTTATTAGATGACATGAGATTAGCTGAGGGGACTCAGGGAGTGAGGGTAGATAGAAAAGAGGCCACGGACTGAGCCTGGGATTCTCCCCATAGACAGGTGGAAAAGAAGGAGCAGCCCCCCAGGGGCTGTGGAAGCTGAGGCACAGAGAACATGACGTGTTTGTGTTTCCAGAGCCGTGGAGCAGCAGAGCTTGGCCTGGAAGCTGGGTCTCCGGGGTCAGGGTTCAGAGCTCTTTCTGTGGCCCAAAGCACCTTCCCTGTCATGGTGCCGGCTTACTCCCTGGCTGGAGTTCTGCCCCTCCCTCATCCAGGAAATGTCACTTCATCAAGTCTGAGCAGGACGTGGATTTTTGTTTCTGTTTTTCTCAGTGTGTTTGAAGTATTTCATAATTTTGAAATGAGCTAAAATTAAAAGGCTTTGTGGGAGGCCTAGACTGCCAGTATGGATTTGGGCATTGGACACACAGACTCAGACCAAAGGGAGATGTTGTCGGAGTTGTTTAAACGAAGAATTCTGTTGTCTTGGATCCC